TAACATATTTACCCTCAAATTTTTTTTGGTCCGAAACTTACCGTCTGGTTTTTCTCAGACTTCTTAATTTTGTCTTATCATGAAGTATCTAGGAACTTCATTCTCAAGTTTTAGTGCTTGTAAAAAGTTGTCTGGTTATGCGGTACGTCATCTTCACAAGGATTACGTAAGTGAACTATATCTCATTTCTGTTTCCAACCAGTAAAGAACGATTGTGAAATGGGATTTCAGGAAAATGGCTGTTCTCTGTGATTGGGCATGGAAGGTTTGTAAGTTTTAGAGGCTGCAGCTATTGAATCCTTTCTGCTAAGAGAGGGACGATAGCTAATATAAAAGGGATAGTATTTGACATCCAAAATGACATATTTTCACATTTTGTCAGGTATTATATCACCAGCACCAAGAATAGAGCTTGGCACACAGTAGGAGCTCAGTAAGTAGTTTTTGAGGAAATTATTGGGGAATGAGTGTATGGTAGAAAACCCAAGCTTCTGCTACATGGATACCAACATATAAAAGAGAGGACAGTTGGAAATGGCTTTTATCCAGGTAAGCATAGCTACAGAACTTAAAAAAGTCAGGATGCATCAATGCTGGCACTTTTTTGCACTTAATCAGAAAATATCAAGGTGCAAGAAGATTTTCACGCAATTAAGCCAAGACTGGATATCTAAATTTCATCCTAGTATCAATTTTAGTCAGCTTAAAAATCTATTGAGTGAAATAGTTCATTAGTTCAGAATAGATCAGTCAGGGACAGTGGGATACCACTTTGTAAGTTAGAAGTATGGAGTTAGGAATTGTTGGTAAAAAAAATTAGGCCTTGCACATAGCAACAGCTACTGCCAAATTTAAAAATATACTAATTCGCTGGTACTTCAAAAAGGACTGCTATTTCTGCCATGTATCAATACATTTACAACAATGCAATTTCTAAATTGATCTCAGATTCTAAGAACAAAATCTTATAGTAGATATCTGCATAAATTTGGATTCTCTTGACAACTTCAATCATTCTTATTTTATTATATACTTATATTGGTTATATCTTTATGTTACTACAGTAACATTTCCTCCATATTAAAGATAGACTACTTGAATTTCAAAAAACTTTCACAGATATATTTATCTCTTTCAGCTCATTTTTTAGCAAAGAATAGGTCTTACTAAGCCAGAATTAAAGATTTGCTCTTTGGCACCATACTAATTTTCCAGCTTTAATCCCTGGTACTTCTTTCTTTTATTTCTGTCCCTCATTAGTCTGTTTGTTTTATAAGACCATAATCAAAGGCTGATTCCGACTCAAAACCTTCCTTGATCCCGTCAAAGCTTTGTCCTTCTTATGAATATCCAGAGTATTTTGTTAGTATTTCTTTATTGTATTTTTTATATATTTGCATTATTCATCCAGTGAAGAAATATTTGTTAATTACATCCAAATACTGTACTGGGCAATGGATAATAGCTGACATTTGTGGGCTTACGATATCTTAGGCATCATAAGCTTCTTAATCGGATTATCTCTTTTAATCCTCAAAACATCATGAGTATTAGTCTATCATTATTCCCATTTACAGATGAAGAAACAAGTTTAAGAGGTTAAGTAATTTGCTGGAGATTACAGAGCTAGTTAAGTAGTAGAACTGGCATACAACTTTAGGTAGTCTGTATCCACAACCTTCAGATTACAGACTTCATTACAGCTTGTTTATGTACATTTTCTTATGCATCTATGTTTTACAGGCTTTACTAAGTTGTAAATTATTTGAAAGCAGGGGTAGTACGTTCATATCTGATGCCTTATTGCTCCTATTGTAAATCAGTGGTGTAATAAAGCTGATAGTGGACGCACACAGGAAGGATATCAGACTTAGATGGATGGGAACAGTGAAGACAATCCTGGAACAGGAGACGTTTAAATCAAGTGCTGAAGGATTAGTAGGCATTTGCCTGATGATAAGGCAGACACCTTGGAAATTGGGAAGATGGGCTGGAGAAATATATGTGTGACAGCCCAAGGGCAGGGACCATGATGGCTCGAGCTGTGCTGTCCAGTATGGTAGCCGGTAGCCATACGTTGCTATTGAGCACTTGAAGTGCAGCTAATCCAAATTGAGACGTGAAGTGTAAAATACCACTGGATTTTGAAGACTTAGTATAGAAAAGGAGTGTAAAATATCTCAATAATTGTTTATATTGATTACATTTTGAAGTAACATTTTAGATATATTGGATTAAATAAAATATCCATTTTTACCTGTTTTATTTTACTATTTTAATCTGGATACTTGAGGATTTAAAATTACATCTAGGGCCCTTAACATTTCTATTGGACAGCACTGATCTAGAATTTACAGGGGTTTCAAAATGACCAGTACTGTGTTTGTGTGCCACATACATGTGACTATGTGTTTGATGGGGAAGGTGGATTGGGAAAGTAGGTTGAGTTGGTTTTGTAGGTGATGGATAAGACCAGAAGAAGTACATATGAAAGTTAAAGGTAGAGTTCAGATAGGGTTTACAATAGGAAGAGAGGAAGAGCAAGGGGAGTAAACTTAACCTCTTAAGTGCGATGGAAAGTCTTGTAAGGTTTTAAACACTCAGTATATTTCTGTTGAATGAGACAGTGTCCTAATTACTTCATTTAATAGTGCATGTTCCTGATTTATACTCCTAATTCAGTAGTAATTTTTCCTAATGAAGTTATGGATAGATGTCTAAAGACATTCTACTTAGAAGAAAATTTGCTTCTCAAGAGAGCAGTCCTTTTCTTATTAAGTCTAAATCACCTAAGCTTGCATGGCCTTGATGTGTTTCCAACAAGTAGGAGTGTGAGTTGGTCCTTACAACTAGCATATTTTTCTTGCATTTGACATAACATTTCGTTGGGCATATATTTCCATACATAAGCCAGCTTCATCTGTATTATAAGTCTTTTGTGTCAGATGAGGTCTTAATAATTTCCAAAAGGAAATTTTCTTAGCTACACCATTTGCTCTCTGCTTTGCCTTTCTGTACATATCTGAGCAAGTAAACTCTTAACATTGATTCTCTAGCTGGGTGGCTCTCAATCCTGGCTGCAAATAAGCAGCATTTGGAGAGCTTCACACTCTGAATGCCTGGCCCTATTCCAAAGATTGTTTCAATTGGTCAGAGATGGGAACTGGTTATAGGTATTTTTAACAAGCTCTTTAGGTTATTTTGATGTGCTATAAACCTACAGTTTTCAGTAGATTAAGCTACTAAGTACATGTGCTATTGAGTACTTGAAATGTGGCTAATACAAAATGAGATTCCATCTTTGTCTCTTCATTTGTCCTTTAGAATCATTCACATGCATGTCATTTCTCTGTTTTCAATAAATTCTCTTTAATTTTTTTTTATAATTTTATATCTTAACATTTTCAACAGACATAGCTTTTTAAATCAACGTATGTGATGGAATTAGTATGTATTCATGTGATACATAATTGTCCATAAATATTTACATGCTATTATAAACATGATTTTTCTGGAAAGAATTTCAAGAAATTGCTAATATTAGTTAATGTCAATGCTCTGATACATTCTGTATATTTTGGAAACAAAAATGTATCACATGTAGGTACCTGAAATGTAGGTATTTGATTTGATGGAATGTCTACTTTAGAAATAGTTGGCTTTCAGTCTTCTTTTTTTAGTTTTTTGCATACTTTGCCCTTTTTTGTGGATATGTGAAATTGACAGTGATTTCATGAGAGTTCATTTCTGCTGTTTTGAGTTTTTAGTTCTCTCTGACCTCTATTTCAGCAGCAAGTGGCAGTTCCGGAGATGGTTATTCCACATGAGTGCTTGGAAACAAAAAGATGTGGTGTTGGGCATATTTTTGGTGGTGTTATTAGACACGTACAAAGTCAGCTGAACAAAGACTAAGAGCTTGAAAAGGAAAAAGTGCATAAAGGTTTAATGCAATGGTGATAAGAAATGCTTTGTTATTAAAGTTTAAAAGTAAGGTATTAGCATCCAGTTTCAGTCTAAAAGGGAAAAGATGATAGAAAATATGTGCATTTTCTGATTAAAAATTTAGCCTTGCTTAATTGCTGTATTTTTGCTTCAGTAGAAGATACTATTTGTATTGTGAATTACAATAGAGCTATTTTTCACACTAATGAAAAGTTTAAATTGGCAGACAGAGTAAGAGAGAAGAAACCATGTGTTGAAAGATAAACTGAGACGTGATAACTTTTAACGATTTTATTTGAGCACACAGTGATTCTTGAATCAGGTAGCTCCAAACCAGAAGTGGTTGGGGGGCTCTGCAGTGGAGATGCAAGATGGGAAGGTTTATAGGGCTAACAGAAGTAAAGCAAAGAAAATATTTGATTGGTTACAGTTATAAGGTTGTCTAATTTGATCTATCCTGTTGGAAGGTCCCTAGTTACATAAGTTAGTTGATGGCATCTGATTGCTTAGTCTTAAGTTTCTTTTTTTAAAAAATATAGGTATTTACCAAAAACATAGCCCAAGTTAAGTGTTGCATATGTTTGCAAATCAAGCAAGGTTAAAGTCATGTATGAGGCCTAACTGGTTTTGTCTGCTCAGGGATTCTTCAGGCCAGGTCTCCATTCTAATTTACCATAACAGGAGGTAGAGGAAATGTAACTGATGGAAGTTTTGAGGAATTTTTCTGCCAACATGAAGAATTTCATCTGGACCCTCCACATAGATAAGAATCTCCTTTTGAAAATCTTTTACTAAATGACATCTAAAAACTTAGTAACACTTTTGGTTTTGAGACAAAGTCTGGCTCTTTCACTCAGGCTGGAGTGCAATGGCATGATCTCAGCTCACTGTAACCTCCGCCTCCCAGATTCAAAAAATTCTTATGCCTCAGCCTTCTGAGTCACTGAGATTACAGGTGTGCACCACCATGCCTGGCTAATTTTTGTATTTTTATAGAGATGGGGTTTTACCATGTTGCCCTGGCTGGTCTCGAACCCCTGAGCTCAGGCAATCCACCCACCTGGGCCTCCCAAAATGCTAGGATTACAGGCGTGAGCCATCATACTCAGCCAGCCACACGTTTTTAAGATTTAACTATCACAAGCTGCTAATAACGTCGAAGTAGACATAACATGAGAAAACCTGGACATAATAAGTCTTGCCATTTGACTAGCTGTGTTGTGGACAAATTAACTCCTCTGGATCTTGTTTTATAAATAGAAAAGCTAGTGTCTCCCATATAATGACATGGTGGTGTTTAAATGACAGGACTTGGAACTTCATGGATATTTGATACTTTTTTCATATTGACAGAAAAAGTTTAAGGTTAAACAGTGATAGAGCTAGAAGGGATCTTGGCAATGTCATCCCATTTCACATTTTGTAGGGGAGGTAAAGTCAGCTCTGTGTAGTTATCAGTGAGTGAATTTGAAGTCAGACAGCATGGTCTGTATAAGATACCCCTTACTCTTTCTGAGCTCTTGTTTCTCCTTAGATCTTTTAAAATCTCTTTTCCAATTCAAAGTGCTTTTTTGACATCTATCCCACTTCTCAGGTGAATCAATATTAATAAAGCAATATGTACTGTATTGTGTAAGACACTGGGACCTTTTTGATAGGTGGCCTCATTTTCTGCCAGTATGAGAAAATCCAGTCCCTGACTCACTCAACATCTGTTCTGGCCTTCTAGTGTGCCTCCCAGTAATGCAAAGGCTAGCTAGCACAAAAACTACGTACTTCCCCAATCCATTGCAGTGAGGATTGTGGATGTGCTTTAGATTCCACCAGATGCACTTACGTAAGGCTTGAATTCAAGGTAGATAAGAGAGTCAGGCATGTGAAGCAACTGTTTTTTGTGGGTATGTGGGTCTAGCACGGAGGTTTTCAAAGGCTACTGTGCATTAGAGTTATCTGGAGGGTTTATTGAAACACAGATTGCTATGTCCCACTTCTAGAGTTCCTGGTCTGGAAGAGAGCCTAAAAAGTTTACGTTTCTGACAAGTTTCAGGTACACCCTCTTTAACAGTCCAACAAACCTAGAGTCTGGAAATTGGAGAAACATAGTCTTATATCTAAAATAAATGCTTACAAGAGAGGATCTTTTTCACTCAAACTCTGTATACAAATACTGCCACATGGATATTTTAAAATGTATTTAATGGAGACTCCAAGTATAGTTTACTTTCCTATATCGTGATCTTCAGCTCTATAATTAAAGCAGCACAGAACAATGCAAAATACTGCTGAGAAATTCTCCAAAGAAAGGCACATAATTAAGAGCCTTAATTGAAACAAAAACATAGTCCAGCCTCATTTTGTTTGGTGTAAGGGGCTTTTGTTTAGGTAGTTTGAGCGGGAGGAGGATGGGGTGAGCTTTGAGGAACAGAATTAGGAGGGCAAACCAAACAGTGTGTACTAGTCTATGAAAAGTTTAGGAATCAAAAAACAATTTTTGGTGATCTTTGCCTTTTTCTTTTTTGGTGATCGTTTTCTTTATTGGTTATCTTTTTTTTTTTTTTTTTTTTGGTGATCTCTTTGGTTATCTTTCTTTAACTTGATTAATTAGGTGGGATGGCTGGGTAAAATCCTTGCCATTTTTATGTTACTCCTTTTATTTTATCATATTCCTATAATACTTTAATGGTTTCAGGAAATTATATTCCAGGTTTAGGGTTTCTATGTTGGTTTAACCTTAAAATCAGTTTGAATTTGTGAAGTAGTGAAGTTTATTTGATCAGATTACATTGCCTTAAATTGGCTTCTGAGTTCTACTGATTTTTGCAGCTCAGCCTTTCAGTTTTCCTCAAATTAGTCTACAAAGTATACTTTTTCTTTTAGATATCTCGAACTATGATCATTTTGGCAAATAGACTCTTTCATTTATTCAAAATGTATTTATGGTGTGCATGCCATGTGCCAGAATTTCTGCTAGGCTCTGGGGAGGTAATGGCCAGAGGAAACATCCCTGCCCTTGTGAAACTTTGCAGTGAAGTGGGGAAAGGGACAGACTCTGAGCTGTATGTTAGCACAACTATAAAATTCAGTCTAGGAAAAGTACTGCGAATTTTATGCTGGAGTAATTTGACTTATCAGGAAAGGCTTCACTGAGAAATGGATGCTTAATCTGCAAGCTAAAGGATGAGTAGGAATTAAGTAGGCCAAAAAGGGAGCAGTCCATTTTCCAGGCAGAAGGAACGGTGTGGACAAAGGCCCTGAACCAAGAAAGAGCTTGACAGGAATAGGTGGCTGAAAGATGGCCAGTGCAATTGGAGGAGAGAGGGAGAATTCGTGGGAGAAGGAGTTGAAGGAATAGGAAGGGAGTCAAGAGTGAATACTGGCAACTGGTTAGGAATCTTAGCAGCAGCACACTGGGGAAAAGATGGCAATTTGGACTATGTTGGTACTGGCAAAGATAAAGAAGACAATTTTTTGTTTGTTTTTATTTTTTATTGTACTTTAAGTTCTGGGGTACATGTGCAGAATGTGCAGGTTTGTTACATAGGTATACATGTGCCATAGTGGTTTGCTGCATCCATCATCCTGTCATCTACATTCAGTATTTTTAAGCTATATTTAGAGGGTTGCTTTTTGTTTCTTTTAAATATTATATAGCTTATTAGGTTGAAGTATGTTATAGAAGTTGCAGATTGATTGCTTGTACCTTTTCCTTTTTAGGAATTATCCAGCCTGCCCCTGCTACTAGATGAATGGAAGACGATGATTTGAATTAAGTGCCAGCAGAGAATTATCCTTGGTTTTTGTGCTTTGCAGCATTCCCCAAATTGTTTTCACATCTTCTCTTACTATAAAAACTGCACTGAAGTTAAAAAAATGAAGCAGTTAAAAAGAAAAAGGAAAAGCAATTTTAGTGTTCAAGAAACTCAGACCCTTTTGAAAGAAATTACAAAAAGGAAAGAAGTCATTTTTTCCAAGCAGCTCAATACAACAATTAACGTGATGAAGCGAATGGCTTGGGAAGAGATTGCACAGTGTGTGAATGCTGTGGGAGAAGGAGAACAGAGGACAGGGACAGAGGTGAAAAGAAGATACCTTGACTGGCGAGCACTTATGAAGAGAAAGAGGATGAAGGCCAACATTAAGCTGGTCGGTTCAGGATTTCCCCTTCCCTCCTCCGATTTAGATGACTCTCTCACTGAAGAGATAGATGAAAAGATTGGATTCAGAAATGATACAAATTTTGACTGGCAAAACGTGGCTGATTACAGGGATGCGGGTGGTTCCTTAACTGAGGTTAAAGTGGAAGAGGAAGAAAGGGATCCCCAGAGTCCTGAAGTAAGTATTAGCCTGTGTACCCCCTTTTAATCTTTTCAATTCTGATTTGGGAGATTATTGTTCAAGCTTATTTAAAAATAGAACATAACAAGGTCATTTTATTTGTTTTCACTGTACATCGTTAATACTTCTCTTCCCACCTAAATATAATTACCTAGGTCATATGTATTACAGACATCAAGTAATTCAATGGAAATGATATTCAAAATTCAAATTAAGTATGTTTCCCCAAACAATGCAGAAAGCTTTTGGGAAATATTTAGACAAATTGCCACGAAGTAGAAGTCAATACTGAAAATTGCTTTTCTCTTTGCTCTTAGTTTGAGATTGAGGAGGAGGAAGAAATGTTATCATCCGTCATACCAGATTCCAGGAGAGAAAATGAACTTCCAGATTTCCCCCACATTGATGAGTTTTTTACCCTTAATTCAACACCATCTAGATCTGCATATGATGAGCCTCATTTGCTTGTCAGTATTGAGAAACAGAAACTAGAGTTGGAAAAACGACGACTGGATATCGAGGCTGAAAGACTGCAGGTGGAAAAGGAACGCCTACAAATCGAGAAAGAGAGGCTGCGGCATTTAGACATGGAGCACGAGCGGCTTCAGCTGGAGAAGGAACGGCTGCAGATTGAAAGAGAGAAGTTGAGGTTACAGATAGTCAATTCAGAGAAACCATCCTTGGAAACTGAACTTGGTCAAGGAGAAAAGTCCATGCTTCAACCACAGGACATAGAAACAGAGAAGTTAAAACTTGAGCGAGAACGCTTGCAACTGGAAAAGGATAGGCTGCAGTTTTTGAAGTTTGAATCGGAGAAGCTACAGATTGAAAAGGAGCGCTTACAAGTAGAGAAAGACAGACTTCGAATTCAGAAAGAAGGACACTTGCAATGATTTTTCCAGGCCTCCATTTAGCAAATATTTGAAGACTGTAGATTTCTCTCATATCAGGTGATAGAATGATGGTTGCTGGATTAGCTGTGGTTTCTTTTCTTGTCTCATGTCAGTGTTCAGTAGGAAAAAGTTATATGTGGATAACTGTATGCCTAAGTAGTATATAAAAACTGTGCCCTAGCATAAACAGCATAGTGGAAATTTACTGTGCTGGACTCTCTACCTTATAATATTACATAGAGTCTTGTATAGTCTGTGTACCCAGAGTTTACAATTACGTCTATATAAAATTCTAGCCCAGAAGTTCTCAACTGGGGTTGATTTTGGCCTTTAGAAGACCAATTTGGCGATGTCTGGAGACATGTTTGGTGGTCAAAACTGGGGTAGGGAAAAGGTTGTTACTGTGCAAGGCATACTTCCTCAACCCCCCTTCCCCTGCCACAGACTCAGTAAAGAATTTTCCAACCCAAAATATCATTAGTGCTGAGGTTGAGAAATCCTGTCCTTGCTTAACTCTGTACCTCTATAGCTATGTTTTATAGTTTTAGAATATTAAAACCTCAGATATTTATGTGGATAGGTACTTAAATGGCCAAAAACTTTAACTATGAAATGTTACTATGTAGTATATTGAATATAGGAAGTGATGAAGATTATAGGTATTTTATTCCCATGATTACATCTATAAATAGCCTTCTCAGATTCAGAAAACAATACACGGAACATTAGAGATTATCTAAAATGGGTCACTTTGAAAATAATTATTTATCTCACTTTTAATGCTTTAGAAGGAAGAGGTAATTTTAAAGCTTTAGTTCCTTTTCTTTCAGTAATTTTCTTGGTTTGGGTACAAAAATTGTCATTTCAATAATGTACTGAAATCTTATAAGTAAATGGTTGAAGCTAGTAAAAATGATAACAGTATAAAAATGGTACCTGTATTCCGTGAGCTTGAACCCAATTACTGATTGTTTGACTTTTAAAATAAGTAATAGCAGCCATTTGGGAGTGGGGGGTGGGTGGGGAAAATGTACTCCGTATCAAATAATGATGATGTTGAAATAATGATAGTAGCTATGTGTTATGGATTAGAGAAGCACTTATTACACTATCTAACCTGATATGTAGAACAATTTTTTAGAGTTGTATCTGTTGTTATTCCTGAATCTGAAGCTCAGAGAAGTCACACAGAGTAAATGGCTGATCTTTTATATTGTAGCGTATTTTGTCCTTCCCCCTTCCCTGAGGAACAAAGTACATATCTTTAGTTTCTTTGATATTTATTCTGAGACCAAGGGCTTGTTTAACCTGATGATTTTCCTTCAATTGTCTGAAACTGCTTTCTCCACAATCTGAGTGATTCTGATGCACACTAAAGTTGAGAATCACTGTACTGATCACTTTGTGTTTTCTGATTTTCAAGGTTGATACGTAGCTTTAATATAGCTCTTCTGTTGACCTTGATTCTGTGTTTCTTCCTTGTTAAGAGTGGCTTGAAACTCAAATGTATGTTGACATTTGAGGATGGGTATGCAAGGAAAAAATATACTTCTGTTTACTTACTCTGTCTTTGAAATAGTGTTATTTTTCTATATCTGAGATAAATGCTTCTACTGTAGAAATAAATTTGCCTATACTATCTGAGAATTTGTAATTTCAAATGATACTCATTGCTCTAAGGGCAGAGGTTATCAGGCTTAGAGAAGAGAACCCTATCATGGTCAATGAGGTCAGAGGCCTAACATTTGGGCTGGACATTGAGCTATGTATGCTGGATATGTTATTTGCTCCTCAGAAGGACCCTTGAGATCTAACTCATGTGATATGGTTTAGCCCTGTCCCCACCCAAATCTCATCTTGAATTGTAGCTCCCATAATTCTCACATGCTGTGGGAGGGACCCAGGGGAAGATAATTTGAAACATAGGGCAGTTTCCCCCATATTGTTCTCATGATAGTGAATAAGTAAGCTTCCCAAGATCTGATGGTTTTATAAGAGGAATCCCATTTCTCTTAGTTTTCATTTTCGCTCTTGCCTGCTTCCATGTAAGACATGCCTTTCACCTTCCACCATGGCTATGAGGCCTCCCCAGCCACGTGGAACTATGAGCCCATTAAACCTCTTTTTCTTTATAAATTACCCAGTTTCCGCTATGTCTTTATCAGCAGCATGAAAGTGGACTAATACATCATGTTATCTCCACTCCTATAACAACAACAACAACAAGCCTCATTTATTTAATTAACCGTCTATCTTAAAAATTACATACCAATATTGATCCAAGATTTTAGCATAAGCACAACCACCACCAGGCCAGGGGAATTTTTGTATTTTTTATATAGACGGGGTTTCAATGTGTTTGCCAGGCTGGTCTCAAACTCCTGACCTCAAGTGATTCATTGGCCTCTGCCTACCAAAGTTTTGGGATTACAGGTGTGAGCCACCATGTCTGGCCAGGTTTTAATAGGGAAAGCCTGAAAATAGCTAATAATTAATTTTCGGTGAAGCACTCTTAAATGCCTGGAAGTAAGAAACTAAAAAGAAGCATAATATATTCTAAGGCTTTGGCTGAAGAGCCTTGGATTTCTTAACGCTGCTTCAGGTGCAGATGGGTTGGACTGGTTCATTCCAGTAGGAAACAGTGTTGCTGCACCTCTGACGTGATAGGCACACCCATAGTGCATGTATCTATTAGCTATTGCTGTGTAACAAACTGATAGAAAATTTAATGGCTGGAAATCCCAACCACTTATTTTGCTCAAAATTTTAGAGGATATGAGGTGCAGCTTAGCTGAGTGGTTTTGCTCTTGGCTGGGCTCTCAGTGTCAGCTGCAGGTTGGCTATGTGGTTCAGCTTCTGGGGTTAGCTAAATAACAGAAGGGCAGGGGGTGATAAATGGTGGAGCTAAGCTCTCCCTATGATGTTTGATCCTATAGGCAGGGTAACTTGGGCTTGTTCTAATAGGGGTGGCAAGGGTTGAGGAGAGAAAGAGGTGTTCAAGTTATCAAGCAAGGCCAAGTCTCAGAACTAGCACTTCATTATGCTTCTGTAACACTGGATTGGCCAGAACTAATTACAGAGCCAGACCAGAGTCAAGGGTTGGGCAATAGAGTCCACCTACTGATAAGAAGAGCTGTGAAGTTCAGTAAAACTGGGATACGGGGAGGACTGAGGAATCGTGGCCATATTTGCAATCAGTCTACCACACCTTCACTCTGGTTTGCCTTTGGTATACTTTGATTATATCAGTGGTTCTGATATCTTATCTGGTTTGGCATTAGTTCTACACAAAAATGCCCTGATAGGACTTTGAATTATGTGGGCATTCTTACTGTAAGGAGCACCCTCCCATCTGTTTTGTAGAAATGGCTGGTTTAAGAGAAGGAAGGGACCATAAATTTGCAGAAAGAAATATATAGTGTTCTCTCAGGCTTTTTCTTCTAAATTAAACACTTGAGTCTTTGTAATTGAAGGGAATTTCTGCTTCACTTCTTTCATTTTCTGCCTAATTTGTCCATTTTATATTACTTCGCTGCTTCTCTGTTCATTTTTCTACTTCTTCATGCATTGTCACCTCTATGCTGTATATAAAAGCAGATCATAATGCTTCCAGAATATTTTATTTTGAGTTAATAGCTACTTTTTTCTACCTCCACATCCTTAACATGATCATTTTAAATCCAAAATGATTTTTACTGTGTTGCTCTACATTTGCGTTATACTTCCCCAAAAGTAAATTTAATTTAGAAAATATTTAATTTTTAATTTATCAGAGATTTCTAGCCACTATCATCAGACCTGAATTATAATTTCTAAAGCTCCCAGAGAACTACCAACCTGTTTCCTTATTCCACCTGTAACTTCTGTTTGACATATGTAGATCCTTTTTATACATGCCAGGCAGTGTTTTGCATAGGGCCTTAATTTAAATCCAGATGAAGATTGTCTGTCAAATGTATCATTTTGAAAATTTCTCCCAATGCATATTGAAAGAGATCCAGCCTAGGTGTAACTGGGACACAGCTGGAGAAGAACGTATCTCTTTAAAAAATAGGAAAGTTGGATGCTGAAATCACGGATTAATTTGTCACTGTAGATAGAGGCATTGAGACTATGCTGTTTGAATTAAGACTAAGAAGAAACAAGAAATGACAATTATTATAAAATCTGATTTTTTGTACATTCAGAGAATAACTTTATCAATACTCTTTATTATTTACCATTTGTTTCTTTGATATGACCCATTCATCTTTAGAAAAACTGAAATATAAAGTCAGTCAACTCTTAATGTCATTTCCTTTCTAATTTAAAATCTCCAGGTCCAATATTTGAGCTGAAATATAATTTTACAAGTGTTATAGGTATCTTGCCCTGTATATTTTCCTGTTTCCTCAAATACTCAATGCACACCAGAATCAAATTCATTAGCTCTCTTCTCTCATACCTACAAATCATCTCTCTGCAAGGACACCATTTGTATCAGGTTGTCTGGAAATTTCAGATGTGTCTTTGAGTCTTTTGTCTTCTTCATTCTATCAAAATTATTGATCAAGTCCTGTATTTTCTTCTGCTGATGCCTCAGAACAGCCTTCTTCAATCTCACATGTAGTCCTTAGGATGGAGGCATGTGTAGCCTGAATTCCAGCAACGTCTCTCTGAGTTTCTTTCTGTCCAGTCTTCCCTGTGTTACATTTCCAGAATAGCTTTCCCAAAGTACTCTGAGAATTGACAGGACACGAAGTAGTGAAAATGAGCAAAACTCAGGGGAGACTTAGGTCCAGCCCCAGCTCCAGTTTGACTGACAGATGTGGAGCACTGGGTCTCTCTGATCCTCACTGTTGTTGTCTGTATTACATCTAGTATATGTGTGCTGTCTGACACTCACCGTGTTTGGAATAATAACATGAGAATGCAGTTTAAAGCTGGAAAGCACCTTGGAGGTATTACAAATTGTTTTTTCTTGTAAGGAGTAAGGAGAAGTATAAAGTCTGCAAACGTCCTTTGCCTGCCCTTTTAAGATTTCTTCCTGCCATCATAACTAAGTATGCTTGTCAAGCTGCTCTCCAAATACTCTGTGTGTTTTTCTTTGATCATGTTGCTTTCACTCTTCACCTTAACGTTATCTTTTTTCTTTTTTTTTAATTTCCTTTTTTAGAGACATGGCCTCGCACTGTGATCCTCCTGCCTCCCAAAGTGCTAGGATTACAGCTGTGAGCCACCATGCCCATCCTATCTTCCCATTTTCTATTCTACAGTGACATTTAGCAGCACAAAACTTCAGCAGGATGGAGGGGCTTTATCATTTCTATTACTGTTTACCATAATTTAAAAGTATCAAAGTAAATTTCACTGAATAAAATTAGAATATTTTATCACATAAAGTTGGTATCATGTCTTTCAAAGTCTCCTTGGAAATTTTTTGAATACAAGTGTGAAAGTCAACACCAGCCTGTCCAGCTTATGACTCATTCCCCTCTTACCTGGTCCTTGGCGTTCATGTGTGTTCTGTGACTGTTGCTTTGGCTGTACTGTGCATACTTCGACCAGGCATGGTCACAGCTTGGCTTTGCGTTCCCTGAAATAACTGTACTGTGCAGAGGATTCTCTTTCCCATCAGGGATTATCTATGTCCTGATCCATATACAATGTTGCTTTTGATGATTTCTCAAATGAATAGGATGGTGAAGATTTCAATTCTCACCTGCCTACTATATAGTCTGGGGTGTCTCCCTATGAGACTTGGGTCAGTTGTTGGTTTTGATTTTTCTTGGTTCCCCATGTTATTTCCAGATTACTGTTTATTATTTAAAAAAACAAAAAACAAAAAAACTTTGAAGCCGATACCTGCTGGCTGACTAAAGCCATCTTCCTTTTCTCATTATTCATTTTGCTCACACCTCGTTAACTAATGACTGCCTCATCTTCCTCTCCATCCTGGTCATCCTAGGAATTTCCCAGGAAACTGGTGTCCCAGTGGCGAATCTGAAAGCTTTGGCTACTTACTTCTGTGTCCTTGTTACCAGTTCCATCTCTTCCACTTCCGCTGTCCTTGTCCTACAATATTATTCTGGGCCCAGTTACTAGCGCTTCTCCATGACCATGAACTCAAATACCAGCCCAGTGACTAAAATCTATGATCCTTCCAGTTTGCTGCACATGTTTTTCATCCTCAGGACTTCAAGTCCAATGGCTGCTCCAAGTTTTCCTACCGCAGCTATCCTTTCTCAGCTCAGATTAGATGACCACGATTTTACTCATACCCAGGCAGATTGGTGCTACTCTAACTTCACAGCTCCTTCTCTCCAAAACCATGCTGTGGTGGGTTGAACTGTGTCCCCATAAAGATATCTTAAGGCCCTAAACACCAGGTACTCGTGAATCTGGTTTTATTTGAAAATAGAGTGTTCACAGATATAATCAAATGAAGATGAGGCCATACTAGATTAAACAATAACTGGTGGCTTTATAAGGAGAGGGAGATTTGGAGACAGGGATACACACAAAGATTAAAGACATGTAAAGACAGAGGTAGGGATTGAAATGATATGGCTGCAAGCCAAAGAACACTTGCCAGTAACCATCAGAAGCTAGGAGAGAGGCATGGAACACATTCTCCTTCAGCCTCCATAAAGAGCTAACCCTGCTGGCACCTTGATGTCAGACTCCTGCCCTCCTGAAATGTGAGAATAAATTTCTTATTTTGAACCACTCTGTCTGTGGTAGTTTGTTATGGCCACCCTAGAAAACAAATGCACATGATTTTAAAGTCTTTCCATTGGACAGTTCCAACCACCCTTTGGCCCTCCATTCATATTCAGTTGATAACTTTGCTTTTGAGGAAGTAGAAGCCATCAGACAGTAACTTCCTCAACTGATGGACACCAAACTTACAAACTATATTCATCTTCTCTTATCACTCCTGGAACAAGGACAGTATAGTAGCAAATACAGCAGTGATTAAGGGTACATGTTCTGTAGCCAAAACATTTTGTTTTAAATCTGAACTCATCAATTGCCAGCTGTGTAATTATGGGTAAAATATCTAATTTCTCAATGACTCATGGTACTCTTCAGACCCCACTTCAGATCTGATATATTTGTCACAGATCTCCAGAGAAACAGAATGAACAGAATATATAGGCTCATGCAGTTGTGGGAGTTTGCAAATCTGATATCTGTAGGGCAAGGGCAGACTGGAAACTCAGGCAGTGGTTGATGGTGCAGCCTTAAGGCAGAACGAATAACACTTCATAGTGAGAATATGTGAGAATTAAATATGATACTACGTTGTTGTGAGAATTAAATATGATAGCTAAAAGAATTTATTGAGTATATAGTGCTCAATAAAGGCCAGTTAGTATATTTTGTTATTAGTTGAGCCTATAGAATTTGTAATTAAAAGTTAAAAAGAAATGCTTAAACATTGGCAATTCCATATACTCAGTATATTATTACACGGAATGTAGCCCTAGGGTAGTTCTTACTCTTATTAAAAGATAATCTGCTCTGGTGTTGTCTTGATCTCATCCTCTTCTGTCTTTTCAGACTCACATGATCAATTATCTCCTTTTTTGAGTCTTCAACTTCAGCCTATATATCTGCTTCTTTGTATCATGGCGTAAATGTTCTCTTTTCTCTCCCACCTAAAAATAGCACATACAAAATGACTGAATAATTCCTAGATATCCACCTCTCCCCAAGGCCCTTCACAGCAAAAGCTTTCTGACTTTTTTCTTTTATGCAACTCTACTTTCCAATCTGTTTTTGCTAGCTTTTGTTTTTTGAGACAGAGTCTCACTCTGTCACCTAGGCTGGAGTGCAATGGTGCAATCACAGTTCACTGCAACCTTGGACTCCTGGGCTCAATCAATCCTTCCACCTCAGCCTCCCAAGTAGCTGGGACTACAGGCACATGCCAGCATGCCTCTCAACTTTTTTATTTTTCGTAGTGACAGAGATCTCACTATGTTTTCCAGGCTGGTCTCAAATTCCTGGGCTTAAGCCATCCTCCCACCTCAGCCTCCCAAAGTGCTGAGATTACAAGCATGAACCACATGCCTGGCCATTTTTATCTCACTTGATCTTTAATTGTTATCCAACTGGACAACTCCTTTCTTCCTAAATATTCATTTCTTTCTCTGGTTACACTTTTGATTTACTATGCTATATTGGATGCCCTTATGAGACATCCAGGGCTTTTGTGAAAGTTAAGTAACAGAATCATGGTCGCAGAGTCTGGGAAGTAGGATATATGCTCAGATTACAAGGGTTCTGTTATTCTGAAAGGAGAAAATAGATTTTGTGGGACAATAGCAGTCTCTATCACAAGTACCATCTCTCTGATTGTTACTTTCTATTTTATTTGTTAACAGGGTTTAGGAGGATATAATGTGGCTTGCTCTTAGCATCTGGCATTGTAATTGAATGTATCATACTCTGCTTCTTGAACTAATAGTTACACCAAAAATCCACAAAATTAAAACTAAATAATAGAACAATGGGGAAAAACATGCTAATTTTTTTTCAAAACATTTTAAGAACAATATTCTCACATTAGAAAAAAAATATAGTTGCATTTCTTTTTGTTTGTTTTTTTTTTTTTTTTTGAGATGGAGTTTCACTCTTGTTACCCAGGCTGGAGTTCAATGGTGCGATTTCCGCTTACCGCAACCTCCACCTCCTGGGTTTAGGCAATTCTCCTGCCTCAGCCTCCTGAGTAGCTAGGATTACAGGCACGCGCCACCATGCCCAACCAATTTTTTGTGTTTTTAGTAGAGACGGGGTTTCACCATGTTGACCAGGATGGTCTTGATCTCTTGACCTTGTGATCCACCCACCTCGGCCTCCCAAAGTGCTGGGATTACAGGCGTGAGCCACCGCGCCCGGCCCCTATAGTTGCATTTCTATACTGTAAGTGAAAAGACCTCCTCTGTCTTGCTGATAATTTTGTTTCTAGTACTTAAAACTGACTAGCCCAGAAGGTGTATTTAATGAATATTTTATACTTTTTAAAGGAGCTTGATCTAGTCTAAGGCTTTTTATTTTTTAATTTAAAGCAGTGCATACTAGAGACTTGTGTATAAACCATGGAGTAAGAACTCAGCTTAGATCTCAGAGCCACCATTTTCTATTAGAGTGACCTTGTGTAGATTACTTAACCTCTTTGAGCTTTAATTTTCTCATTTGTAAAATAAGGATATTGTGGACATCTTTCTAGGTCAGTATATGTAGATATCTACCTCATTATTTTTAATGACTGTACAATTCAATTTTATG